TAGGAGCTCCGCAGACAGTTTAAGTTTCACTTTCAGTTTCACCCGAGAGCCTGCAGGAGTCATGGGCGGGGTGTGTGGGGAAGTGGGGGGTCGCTCCGCAATGAGGAAGTTCGGCTTAAAGACACGTCCCAGGGGCGTTTCTGGTACCAAAAGGCATTTCTGGTCCCCACCTGTCGTTTTGCTCCTCATCATGGCTGCCTAAAAACGCTGCAGGATTTCTCAAACATGCATGAATGAGTCAGAGCAAGGCTTTGGGCATGTTTTTTATGAGGGTATAACATTATAACATGATTCAAAACTCAAAAAAGTTGATTTTACATGATATTGCCCCTTTAAAGATGTAACAAAACAGAACAAATACGACTCTCACTGGTAATGCAAATATTTGCATCCATTATCATACCATAAAGGAAATAATGAATTAGGAGAATCATTACTTATCTACTGCAAACAGCTTAATCTCATGTTTATTTGTGGGAAAAATCCCTTAAATGAAAAAATTAAATGTCTTACTTTAGATGTTTAAGATTTTTGTRTGTAAATGCAATCAGATTTATGACTTTTTTCCATGTTGTAATCCATGAACAACATAAAAATGAAGGGTAGGRAGTCAAAGCTGAATGTTTTTCAGGAATAATCTGGGATGAACTCGTGTTCATCATTCCATTCATTTCTTCCTCCTCAGTCACAGATGGACYACTCCATCAGCTGACTGCAACTGAAACACAGGAAGCTCTTGTCCTCAAGTATCTGTTCATACACAGTTTTCACCGATGTTGTTCGCTGCAGACTAACACGAGCTACGAGTTATTACCCAGACAGGAAGATGACTCCCTAAACTGTGGTTTCCTRGCTTACACCTTTAATAAAACAGAACTTTAGCTACTGGCCTACTATGTTATATTTTATGCCCGTAAAGGAAAATTTACTGCGATACCAAACAAAAATACACCAGCAATCATTCAYCTACAAAAATATCTTGTCTTCTTAGTTGTGTCTCTGGTACAATCTGTTTGAATGGCCAAATACCCCTTCACCCTCCCCCTACATCACAAATAGGTTTAAGACACGTCTACTGCCTGGCATTAGAGAACATAACACCAGCATCTTATTGGGCTGTGGTTGTTATAGACTATCTGGCAAATGGACAGCGCATGAAAATAATTTTGCACTTTCATTAAATTTAAAGCTTTACAACAAAGTAACCAGTGAGCTTTATGGCTGCTTTTTAGGCAGCCCATTCTGCCAGCCTACACATCTGTATTCTAAGTCGTGCACATTATTTTGTTGCCAGCCTGTACTCCATTGTGTCCACCTTGGAATCTGCCACACAATGACAATATAATCATCAGGAGTACACTTCTAAATGCAGATAGGCAGAATTAGGCCTGTTTGTTTTTATTACTATTTATCATCACTGTGTTTTATCAATCTCGACATCGATCAACCTCAAAACTACAATGATGATGATGAAGAAGACCCACCTCTTTGGCACTCTTGATCTTCTCCAGGAAAGTCCATAGCTCTCTGGTTTCAGTATAAAGTGCTCGACAGACTGCTTGGTAGTGACTGGGAGCATCTGAACGACTGGGCAGGTGAACCATGCAAAGCTGCAGTGGAGAAAAAGAAGAACGTTCAGTTTCTTCAGCTGTAGATGACAACATGTTGACAGTAGCTTCTTTTTTGCTTGGATCTAAAGTTGAAGTGCTAATAAACTAAATGTAACTTATTTATTATCATAATATAATGTTATAACATAACTGTCCAAATAACCAGCAGCAAAAAAGTGTAAAAAAAATAAAAATAAAAAGTAGCATACGACAATGTTTTGTTATCTCATTTTTGTGGCAATAGCCTCTTTTAGACTTAGGTAATATGAAACTATAGAACAAAGTATGCCTACTTTCTTACATTTTTATTGTTTTACTTAGAATTAGAGTTTATTTATTAAAATTTGATAAGACATTAACACACAACTCGCAGTAACACAGTAAAATACTGTAAAATTCAAAATCAGTGAGTGAAACTCCATGATTCATTCGTTTGTAAAACTTATATTAATATCAGTTAACTAATTGCTTTCTGACTGACCCTGTTTTTCTCAGATCTTTAAAACCTTGATTTTATATTTTGTTTTTTTTTTTGTTTCTTTTGCAGGCATTGTTTAAGCACAGTGTAAAACAATGCCTGCATATTGCGATGCCTGTGGCATTGAATTAGAAACCTCTTTGCACTACTTGGACCAATGCTTGGCCCTGAGTAGTCAAAGGGAAAGAATTCTTGGAGAACCTTTTATGGATCCCGAGAAGCTTCGAACACTGAGTGTTTCTAACCTGGTGTCCTTCTTTCAAGGGACGTGAAGGTTTGATTAAAAACTCAGTGTCTCTTTTGGGGAGAGTAATGGGCCCATTTATGAGGCCTCCGCTCACATGGGTTTCGCCCATCCCCATATACCATAACCACACCATAACCATAACCATATGCACAGTTTAAACAGATTTTTTTTTCCATCAGACCTTTGAATCAGGCTGAGGTCTGGACTTTGACTCAATTCTTTTCTTTTTCAGTTGTTTTGTTGTAGATTAGGCCTCTGTGTTATTGAGATTATTGTCTTGTTGCATGTCCCAATTTCAGCCAAACGTTAAGCTCTAAGGCTGAGTCTGGCCATCCTACGAAAGAAGCTTTTATCGACCACTTGCATCCAGGATCTTTTTATCATGATCCAAACCTCATGACCATGGGTGAGGGTTTGAACATAGATAGACCAGTAAATTGAGAGTTTTGCTTTTGACTCAACTCCTCAGCACGACTGACCGACGCAACTCCCTTACTAAGAATGAGGCCCCATTGTTTCATCTTCCATCCTATGATCACCAATGAACAAAACATCCAGATACCTTAATTCATCCACCTGATGCAAAGTCTCCCCAGACACAGCTCCTGCTCCTGGTTATACNTCACCCTCCCCCTACATCACAAATAGGTTTAAGACACGTCTACTGCCTGGCATTAGAGAACATAACACCAGCATCTTATTGGGCTGTGGTTGTTATAGACTATCTGGCAAATGGACAGCGCATGAAAATAATTTTGCACTTTCATTAAATTTAAAGCTTTACAACAAAGTAACCAGTGAGCTTTATGGCTGCTTTTTAGGCAGCCCATTCTGCCAGCCTACACATCTGTATTCTAAGTCGTGCACATTATTTTGTTGCCAGCCTGTACTCCATTGTGTCCACCTTGGAATCTGCCACACAATGACAATATAATCATCAGGAGTACACTTCTAAATGCAGATAGGCAGAATTAGGCCTGTTTGTTTTTATTACTATTTATCATCACTGTGTTTTATCAATCTCGACATCGATCAACCTCAAAACTACAATGATGATGATGAAGAAGACCCACCTCTTTGGCACTCTTGATCTTCTCCAGGAAAGTCCATAGCTCTCTGGTTTCAGTATAAAGTGCTCGACAGACTGCTTGGTAGTGACTGGGAGCATCTGAACGACTGGGCAGGTGAACCATGCAAAGCTGCAGTGGAGAAAAAGAAGAACGTTCAGTTTCTTCAGCTGTAGATGACAACATGTTGACAGTAGCTTCTTTTTTGCTTGGATCTAAAGTTGAAGTGCTAATAAACTAAATGTAACTTATTTATTATCATAATATAATGTTATAACATAACTGTCCAAATAACCAGCAGCAAAAAAGTGTAAAAAAAATAAAAATAAAAAGTAGCATACGACAATGTTTTGTTATCTCATTTTTGTGGCAATAGCCTCTTTTAGACTTAGGTAATATGAAACTATAGAACAAAGTATGCCTACTTTCTTACATTTTTATTGTTTTACTTAGAATTAGAGTTTATTTATTAAAATTTGATAAGACATTAACACACAACTCGCAGTAACACAGTAAAATACTGTAAAATTCAAAATCAGTGAGTGAAACTCCATGATTCATTCGTTTGTAAAACTTATATTAATATCAGTTAACTAATTGCTTTCTGACTGACCCTGTTTTTCTCAGATCTTTAAAACCTTGATTTTATATTTTGTTTTTTTTTTTGTTTCTTTTGCAGGCATTGTTTAAGCACAGTGTAAAACAATGCCTGCATATTGCGATGCCTGTGGCATTGAATTAGAAACCTCTTTGCACTACTTGGACCAATGCTTGGCCCTGAGTAGTCAAAGGGAAAGAATTCTTGGAGAACCTTTTATGGATCCCGAGAAGCTTCGAACACTGAGTGTTTCTAACCTGGTGTCCTTCTTTCAAGGGACGTGAAGGTTTGATTAAAAACTCAGTGTCTCTTTTGGGGAGAGTAATGGGCCCATTTATGAGGCCTCCGCTCACATGGGTTTCGCCCATCCCCATATACCATAACCACACCATAACCATAACCATATGCACAGTTTAAACAGATTTTTTTTTCCATCAGACCTTTGAATCAGGCTGAGGTCTGGACTTTGACTCAATTCTTTTCTTTTTCAGTTGTTTTGTTGTAGATTAGGCCTCTGTGTTATTGAGATTATTGTCTTGTTGCATGTCCCAATTTCAGCCAAACGTTAAGCTCTAAGGCTGAGTCTGGCCATCCTACGAAAGAAGCTTTTATCGACCACTTGCATCCAGGATCTTTTTATCATGATCCAAACCTCATGACCATGGGTGAGGGTTTGAACATAGATAGACCAGTAAATTGAGAGTTTTGCTTTTGACTCAACTCCTCAGCACGACTGACCGARGCAACTCCCTTACTAAGAATGAGGCCCCATTGTTTCATCTTCCATCCTATGATCACCAATGAACAAAACATCCAGATACCTTAATTCATCCACCTGATGCAAAGTCTCCCCAGACACAGCTCCTGCTCCTGGTTATACAGGGACCAGATCACCCTAAAAATCAACCCTGGCACCACATACTCCCACAAAACCACACACAGAGTTCCTCTGAGAAAATCATCATAAGCCTTCTCCAGTTCCACAAAACACATGTYCACTGAAGAGAKAAACTCCCATGACCCCATTAGCAAACCTGCAAGGGTTAAYATCTAGTTCACTGTTCCACAATGAGAAAGAAAAGTTGGGTAAATTACATGTATTTTACACATACCAAAAGWGACACAAAGATCTTTCACTGTTTAAATCAGTCTTATTAACTGTTGACCYGCTACTATGTAGGTTTGGTAGGTCGAGTTCGCTCCTGTAGGTTGGACTGTCAGAACTGCCCACATCTTTGATCTATTTTGTGCAGTTTATGAAGATCTCAGGGTGTAGTCATGGAGATGAGGGTGTCTGATTTAAGAACCTCAAGGTTTCATCTTAGATTTTTGCAGATGATGTGGTTTTGTTGGTGTCATGTGCATGAAGCCAGAACCTTCAGCATGGCATGATAAGAATAATCCCCTCTAAGTCTGAGGCTATGGTTCTCAGCTGGAATAAGTGCAATGTTCTTGTTAAGTTAGAGGTAGGTCTTTGCCTCGAGCAGAGGGTTCATTTGATCAAATCCATTGATCCATCTCTATGGTAATGTCTTGTACTATAAATCTGTTTCAAATGCTACTCTAAACATCAACACCAGCACAAAACCAAACAACCAACAGTGATTATCTTAAAACTGTTAGGACTCTTTTTGCTACGTACCTTGAGAATATCTCTGTAGTTGTGAACCTCAGAGATATTATCAGGCTCATCCTCTGCCTCGTCCTCTTCTTCTGTGGCCTCATAGCCTTCATCAGGGCAGGACTCCTTTTCTGCCTCGGCTGAGTTTGTCATGAGATCGATGAGACGCTCCAGAGGTGGACTCAGTTCCCGCTCCTCATTCTCCTTCAGGCCGTAGTCCAGAGCTTTGTAGATCATGATGCCCAGAGACTCAATGGCCTGCAACAACAAGGATAACAGGTTTATATATTACATATACTGATTGTGTTTTTGAAATATTATGTTGTTTGTGCAGCATGTACCATGCTCTGTACATCAATTTGCTGTCAATCTAGCAGCTCATGCTAAAAATTAATGATTTGATTTATATTGCGGTTTAAAATCAGTTTTTGTAAAAAATACCTGATGAGAGGTGCAGAAGTCTCATTGACAGTTATGGAAATCATTTGATTGCAGTGATTGACTCAAATGTTTGTGCAGCTTAAGTTAAGAGTACCATCATTTCTGTCCAGACCTGTTTCATGAGTTTTATTTATTTATTTTTTTAATTCTGTTGAACCATGGTTGAAAAGCAATGTCTGACTTTCATTTTCATAGAACTTTTATTTATTATTACTTTTGGCAAATTCAAGTTAATTTCTGTGATCATTGTGGGTTTTTCTTTCATTAAACAAGGGGTACCAACAATTTCATCTWGGTCTGTATTCTCTCCAAAAGCTGCACAGAAATATCTGCCTTTTAGTCCAACTTTATATTGTTTTTTTCCCCTTATTTCTTTTGTATTACATGGTTAAACCTATTTTCCACACCTTATTTTAGTTATTCTCCTATAATATAGCTGAGAACTACACACAGGTGGGGGACCCCCGGCCCAATTAGTGCAGTCTCTGAGCTGTGCTTTTGTGTATTCTAGAGGAGAACAGCTYTGATCTCTGTCTTCTCAGGGGTCTACCCCTAGTGGCAACACTGAACCACTTAAATTTCTGAGAGAGTAAGAGGGATTCTTCTTAAGAATTTTGATAATATTTACACTTAAGTCTGAAACTAGGAGTAAATCTAAGAAATTCTCAGCACTTAAGTCTGAAATTCCACTCTAAGAAGTTTGATAAATACGAGTCCAGGAGTTTGTGTGCTTGAAAACAACAGTCTGCTCTGGAACTGGAGAGTAACGGTGGATAAAACCAATATTGCCAGAGAAGACAAAGGACAAGAGTGGGAAATCAAAGAGGAGATTATTCTGCAAACCTGAGCACTAACACCACTGAGAGGCATGTCACTGAGCCGGAGGGGCAAACAGAGCGGGGGAAACCCACATCAGGGTAGTTTTATAACAGGAGTTAGGTTTAATTAGACAGAGATAACAGGAAGAGAGGTCAAACTGAACCAAGTGATATTGTTGGCAACATAAGCACAGGCCCAGCCACAGACATCATACATGTAGACACCCTACAAAGTGACGCTACCTATTGGAGCTGACGTTTCAGCGTGGCTGCCATCTTGAATGGGCCCCTCTTGAGCACCAAGCACTTTTATTTAGACTGAGGAAGCTGTTCCCCCTCAACTATAATTATAACGGTCATAACTCCACAAATTTTTATCCAGTTTCCACACAGTTTGGTTTGTTACAAATGACAGAGATGTAGTTATAATACAGGACACTGTCACACATTAGAAATATGAGCTTTATGCTCAAATTCTTTGATTTACACTCTTTAACAAAGACAGAAATATGGTGTGGCATATTAATAAAAGTATAAATGAATTAAAATAGAAATCGTATTTATTGTGCCTCAGGGGAGAAATTTAGATGCATCAGCAGCAAAGTGACAAGCAATTCACACAGAGTGAAAATATACAAAACAAAGTATGAGGACTTAAGTAAATTTTATAGAAATTAAAGAAGAACTTTTATATTTTAATAAAGAAACATGTTTGATTGACACGCAATCATTATATTACTGTCCATCATTAATGAGTCAAATGATGTACATAATTTTTATTTTGTYTCCCATCAATCCTGGTCTGTAAAGGTAACATAGAGTTTGGATATTTGTGATGTGCCTACATTAATCTAAAACTAATGTTTGCAGTACTTGTTGCACTGTGGTTTATAACTGTATCTCAGTATTTTTTCTTGTGCTCCTGGTTCTCCTTGTTATTCTTTGGACCTCCTCAAGTATTTATGTAAGGAGATTTTGCTGCCATCAACATTTTGGTCTTTGCTCATAATAAGTTGTGCTTTTTTTAGTTTCCTGTATTAAGCCTGCATGACTCCTTTCCTCCCATGACAGTTTTGTTTTATTTTTGTGATGCAGCCCCATTAAACAGCAGAATGAATCATAAAACTCTGTCACAGTCTGAACTGAGTGAGCCTCTTTAACACACAATATATAATGTATTAATTTCCCTGGTTTTCATTTTCTCACTTCTGTTTTTAGTCTAATTAAAAATGTGTGAAACATAAACACAGGGTTAGTCACATGTTCACAGATGACCACCTTTGACATTTGAACAAGTTTTTAACACATAACAGACTGTAAATCTTAACTGCAGGATATATTTTTTTTACTGTTCCTCGTGACTAAAGCTAACAGATCTTTGTTCTCCTTTAAAATCCCCCGACTGGTTCCCAGGCTTTCAAGCGGAATGATGGGATGGAAAGGAGGAAGGGGTGAGGGAAGAAAAAATCAAGAAGAAGGAGAAAAGAAAAAAAAGGGGTTTAGGATGTGAACTAAAATGGGATTTGGCGTGAATGCAGATTAGCAGCAGCTGCCATCGTGCTGAGAAAGAAGATGATCAAACAGCTGGAATCAGACTCAGAGGGGAGGAAGTTGGTCAAATGAGCAACAAGGTGTCACTTTAGTTACAACAAAGTACTTCTGTCCTGTAAACACATCCTAACAGTTGAACTTTATTGACTCTCTGTGTTTGTGTTGTCTTCTGTGAAAATAACATGAATTTCAACAAAACTTGTCAAAAATAGTAACTTTTGGAGCCAAGCCAACAAAAAACAGAAAAGTGGCTTTAACTCAGTCAGCTTTGCAGATACAAAGCTAAAGTTATGAGAGGAAGTAGCTGAAAGACTTCGACAACATAAACTCTGTGACATGGAGGCCGTGGCAGCTCAGTGGTCAGTGCTGTAGGTTTGAGCCCAGGTTGTGTCAGGAGGGACATCTGGTTTTAAACAATTATAAATCTTTTGTGTCCGTTTGCTCGCTATGGAGACTCATGAAGCAGGGATCAGCCCAAAGAAAAACAACTCTGAGTGTCACATCCCACAATTAGAGCTCATGATTCCACTCAATGTTTGACTAAAACATCTGTAACTTCTGTCATCATAAGATGATCTTAGTTTAAAACTCTGACATGTCTGATTTACCGACATCCAATCAACTGATAAGGACATTTTTATTTATTAGTTCAAATGATGCATTCCAGCTCTGTAAAATAAATAATTTAGCACAAAAGGTAAGGAAATTKGTTWTTGACAGATTATTTATTTGCTATAACAATGCTTCTTGGTAATAAATCGTATAGCAGCACCTGACTGGCAGCACCTGGGGGGACCAGAAGGTCAAAACAAGTGTCTACATTATTAAGAACTACAGGTGCTGGTCATAAAATTAGATTTTCATGAAAAAGTAGATTTATTTCAGTAATTCCATTTAAAAAGTGAAACTTGTATATTATATTCATACATTACATACAAACTCATATATTTCAAATGTTTATTTCGTTTAATTTTGATG